CCCTGTTCGGAAGATTCCACATTCTCTCCCCATTTCCCCTTATGAATCAAGGCACACAGTTGCAAGATGACGGGAAGAATTTGGAGCATGTGTTCTGAATAACAGAATAAAATATGGCTGGTGGCTTACAAAGGAAATCAAGTCTCTCCTTTGTCCATGTCAAGTCTTAAAACCAAATGGAGGATTCAGCTGTTAACATATATGCTTGTGAGGAAGAAAGCTTTTACCTTATTAACTCAAAACATCTAAAAATCTATGTCTATGGCCAAAGTCCTATAAAAAGTGATATTCCCCTGAAAACCTTTCTGCTCATAGCCCACATGCAGAGTGGGGTTGTGCAATTGCCATCAAAAAGGAATAGTCAACATGCAAGTGATTATCACAAGTTAGACATACCTTGTACATGAGTGAATGTACACCTGAAAAATTTCATGAAAATATAACATAGTTTTGAATACATTAGTTAATATGATAATTTAGAGAAATGCTTCCCATTTAAAGTGATGTTTGTAAAGCACACCAGGGTGACTGGCTGGAGGGAACCCGTACACTTACCCCCATGTGGCACGTACCTCCACTGACAATGCTGGCTAGAACTTTCGATTTAGAGGTCTCTCTGGAGAAACAGTTTTTAAAGCTGAGAAATTTCTTTTATTAAGATAAAAAAAAATCTCTCTTTAATCTGTCATATACATTTCATATTTCTATATGTCAGGTTTATGTCAACTGAAATAGACATGTTCTTTTTGGTTGATTATAGTTATAGTTTTCAGAATAGCATATACCAACAAAATGCTAATGCCATTTTGGCTTTGTCCACACCCAGAAAGATTCTAATCCAAACACAAACAGAAAAAAGAGACAAAGTTATTACCCGGTGCAGTTGTTTTACCAGCATATGTGGACCATATAAGCATCTGCACCAATACACATGTGCAGAGATAATGGGTTTACCTATTAACATGGAATAGAAGTATATAGAAATAAAAATAATAGTATAATATCAGAGAGAACAAATTTTCCACTACAAATATACCTGTTCATTTTTGTCTCCCCCTCTAGAATGTAGTGGGGGAAGAGATTTGCATCAGTCTTATTCACTGCTATGTCCATTGACATTGCCCGGAACATAGTAAATACTCAGTAAATACTTGTTGAGTTGAATTGAATCCATAGGATCAAAACAAATTATCATTTACTGATTCTAGGATTCAAAAGAGAAGAAAATGAGACATGTAGCAGGACAATTAACTTCCCTGAATTCCACTGGCTTTTTTATTCCCTAATTGGAATCTAACTCCCTTAGTCACTGCACTTGGTAACTTGGTTGTTATCTGATCAGCCTCTCATTCCTGTAGCTCACGCAGACACGAACTTGAGCCTCCTTGGAGCAGGCTAGGACAAAGGTTAACTTCCTCCCAGAACCTAGAAAAGGCTAATGAGCTCTGTGGAATAATATGTGTAAGCATTCACCATACCAGAATCAATATCAATGTACCATCAGTGTGTGCATTAGCCCCACAGCCAAACAAAGAACAGCCCTTAGAGCCCAGTAATGACGCTGGGCGTGGGTAGCTGGGGATGGGCAAAATGATGCAGAGATGACTGTATCAGCTCTCCTTAAACATGGGGCTTCCAGGATATTGCACAAGACTGCCGTTCTTGTACTTTGTCAAAGATAGGTAGCATCTGGATTCAGCCACTGATACTCTCAACAAAATAACTCTTTTATCTTCTTGACCCAAGAGGTGGACTCAGAGTTTACCTTCCTCACTCTGAGAGATTTCTCGTCTATCCTTGCCTAGTGTTGGCAGCGAATGCAAATGTCTAAAAGTTAGCAGGGCATGAGATGTGAAGCTGATAAGATAGGTAAAACCAATTTGAATCACTACTGACTCAGGTAAGACCTGCTTTTAGTGCAACTCTATCATGCCCATGCTCATTTGTGTAGCATTTCCCATATTCAAATCCTACTAGAAAAGTATGTCAAGCAAGGATAGTGGCAACAAGTCTTAGCGTCAATTCTGCATCTGAGTAGACTCTGACCAAGAATCATGCTCATTCCTGTAGTAAAACGGATCTTAGTGTTATAAATGGGATTGCATCCTGCACGTGATATCTGATTTTCCAATTAAAAGGAAAAGGTGTGGGTGAGTGTGAAAAAGATGACTGATCTGTATAGTATACACAGTTGAGGTGTTATAAAACTAAGAAGACTGGGTAAGCATGAGGGTGCCATAGTCAAATCACATTGGTTTGAAATCCTAGACCAATCACTTTTTAACTATGTGACCTTAGCCAAATTTGTTAACCTGGCTAAGGCTTGGGTTCTGCAAAAATGTGAATAATAACACCTAATCCTATAAAGATCGTTAACTCTCTACCTCATAATGTCATTATAAGAACTAAATAAGATATATATACAATGATCAGTCCAGTGCTTGATACATAATAAAAGCTGAATGAAAGGATGGCTATGGTTATTATGATCCCTATTTTTATCACCACCACCATGGACTAGTCAACTACAAAGACGTAACTTCTTTCTAACTTTGTAATTCAGTAAAGAAAGCCATCACCAAAAGCATGGTGGAGGTTAGCTTCTTGTGAAGAAGCTTCCCTAGTCTAAACTGGGCCACACAGAAAGTATGGTCATGACAATCTTTCACTCATCGCTGTGAAACAAAATTCTTTAAATTCTAGGAAGTTTCAGTGAAACACCTCTAAATGCAGCCATAGAGCAGTCACTCCCTTCCCCCATACTCACTTGCCCCGTCCTCCCCTTGGGGATATATTAAACATAAAACTAAGGCAACTGAAACAGTAATTAAGACATGAAGCTAATCAAAGAGCAGCACAGGCTGTGGCCCTCTGCGAAGAAACCGAATGCCAGAATGACAGCTCCCACTGCTAGGGCTTTGTTCTCCTGGAGCAAAAAGAACATAAAAGCATAAAGTTGGGGAACTGTAACTGCATTTTCCACATTTGCAGAGGCAGGGGAAGATTACAGGCTCTTCTGACCTGGAAGCGTATTCCCCCAGATACCTGCGGCAGCCCACACCCACCAGCGCCGCTTCCACGCTCAGAGCATGACTCCACTTTTTTCTAACACTGCCCTTAAGGAATCTGGCTTTGAGATTTCCAGTAATTGTAGAAGTCACCCATGATGAAGCAGCTGAGAGCACTGTTAGACAAAAGAAATAAAAATTAAGCAAATAAAAAACTCATTAAAATGTTGCCTTTGGTTATTTTCACTCCTAGCAAGTCATGTTACCAAACAAGTCTTTCTCCATTTCCTTGGAAGTAATACTTTAAAAGAATTCTAATGGGCACTGAGTGATTTTCTCCAGACTCATAATCCAGCCACTAGACACACTGTCCCTTCCCCCATCACCATCTAGCACCCCTCCCTGTCACCTTAGAGCTTCTGACTTAGCTGCGTTCACACCCAGCGCTCCCAGCAGAGCTTTCTGTTCACATTATATGAGAGGGAAAAAAAAGCAGGCAATGAACAGTTCGTGCTCCTAAGTGCTTGCAATAAAGCCAGACTGAACTGACCTCTCCCATCCCATACAGCTGCATGTCAGCCACATAAGCTTAAAGGACCGAGAGTAGCATGTGTGTGATGTGTGTAAACAAACTAATTAAAATCTGAGGTCTTTCATTCCAGCTAGTGCCTAATGGGACCAATATGCTTGACTCGGTGCAAAAAAAAAAAAAAAAAAAAAAAAAAGACTCCAAGCTGGCTAGAGGATTGCCCTTTCCTGCTTCCTATGTTACATCCCTTTTTAGCTCAACAAACAGCCTAAAAGAAAAGGAACTCAGGGTTGCTATTCTTTCCTGTAAGACTTTTAAGATAAAAACTATCAACTCAACAGCACAGAGCCAAAAGACCACTCCCTGATTCCAAGTGGACATATTGATCAATTGAACCGACATGTGCCTCTTCCTTTCTCTCCCTTAGTAGCAATCAGCTGCACCAGGGAAACCCATCTCATTTCCCAAAACAAAAGACAACACACTGCTCCTTATCTGACACTGTCAGACCACATTATTTTTTTAGGGTAAAAACATACAATGAAATTGCCCAAAGACAGAGATGGGAGTTGAAATGAAGACGATACATGTTTACCTGGAGTTTCTGAATTGAGTTGAGCTATATTCCTCACAATCACTGAGGACCCTGCTATTTATGCATCTTACCAGATTCTGGCCAAAGTTAAACAAACGTAGCAACACCACTGCTACTTCCAGAGGCCCTCATCAGGGTTACCCTTCACTGCAACTGCCGCAGAGAGGAGACTTGTTACAAGTCAGCCTGCAAACAACTCCAGCTATTTTAGACTAGCTAGAGATGGAAAAACGTCGTGGCAGTCCTTCAACTAACTATGAAGGACATGGGTTGAAGGACTATCATATAAATAAAAAAGGTTCAAGTAATTTTATTTGGTTTGGGTCCTCCAGTTTTTAATAAATTCTGTCTTACGAGAGATCCCCTTTCACATCAGGGTTATGTCAAATGCTTATTCAGCAGTCATTCCGTGCCATGAAGAAACTAAAACCCAACCGAAGTAAATTCTGAATTTCATACTGCAAATCACTAAATATTTCATAAATCACAAGAGCAAATAGGGGACCAAGTAGCTCTGTCCCATTAAAAATATATACATATCTTTACAATATTGAAAAACTGTAAACTACTCATTTTAGAGCCAATTGGGGGTTTTACAATTGGAAATTATCTTATGTTTATGGAAAATTCCATGAGAACACTAAAAATAGGCAGAGATGGAGCAAGAATAATTTCATACATTTTGATTTCTTCATGAGTCTTATAGGCCTTTGTCTTAACCCAGCAGCCTGAAAAACAGATTTAGGTAAAACAGCCCTTCTTTCCCTAGTCCATTTTAAGCAGACAACATCCCCCATCTCCGCCTTAGCAGCCACAGACCAACCAACAAAACAACCATGCAATCAATGCCCAGACATTTAACACTCACCATCTCCTGCTCCCACTGTCTTCTTTTGATGTTTACAGCACATCTGTAGGATGCAATACTAGGAGATGCCTTGTTTGACCTGCTGCATGATGCTGTGACATCAGTTCAGATGATGCAGCTCATTATGGGAAAGACTGCTGTTGCTATGGCAACTGGGATGTGCCAGGAATCCTTGCTGCATTTCCAGTGGAGCCTGAGACAATACGGAAGCCCTGTAAGAAACAGACGATATGCAAAATTTAGACCAAAGGAAGAGGATCCCTCATTGGTCTAAAATCCATAGATTTAAAAGGGATTTCCCTGAAGGCACTTCAGAAAAAATAAAAATTACCTCCTTCTTTATTGTTACACATTTAGTAGGGGAGGAGTATATAGATTTACTACTGAACAAATATAGACTCAAATGGACAGTGTTTCTCTCTTAGGCAATTTGATCACTTTTTCTTCTCCGGACAGCATTATAATACCTTTTTAGAAGTTATCAAAAATAATTTTTGCTCATTTGCCAAAGACCAAAAGAACAAATTAGGGAACAAAGAAAGAATTAAGAATGCAATATAAACAGCTGAGAAAGTGACTCTAATTGTAAAGTAAATAGGCTTTAATTCTCAAAACAGGGGCAAACTCCTACCAATGAAGGCTGCTCTGACCAGTTACCCTCATGGACACCAACCCACAGACCTCTCTCATGCAGAGAAGCCCCAGCACTTACTTGAGCATCAAACAGACACGTGGAAGGGGATTTAGAATCTGGGGGTGGAGCACACCACACAAACCTTAACTTCTAGGGCACCTTTCCTTGGCCTGCAGAATCCTCCCCACTTATAGCTCAAATGCAAGAGTGTTTTCTGGGACCAAATCTCATGGTCAGAACAAGTGGCAGACCTGCTAGAAAATTCCCAAATCATTGGCATTCCAAACATTGGGGCTCTGTTTTCCTCTCTTCGGGGCCATAAGACACCCAGGAGGAAATTACTCATGCCCCTTCTCCCACAAAAGCTGAGGCTGTGTGAAAAGCCACATTTAAACAGGACACAGTGAGGTATTTCTCCAGTTGGTAAAAGAAAAGCAAATCTAAAGCAATCACTCATTTCCAGTCCTGAGCAAAAACAAATATGATGTGGTGAGAACTAGTGGGAAGGAGACATGGACAGAGGAGCCCTTAACAGATTAAATATCTCTTGCATATTTAATGCTCTCAGAACATGGATAGAGACAAAATCAAACTGACCTCCACCCACTCCATCTTCACCTCTGGGTAAGAACAACATTCTAGAAGTCCAAAATCTAATGAGACAATTATGTTGTCTCCTCCTACTCGAAATTTTAAATGGTACTGTTAGCCAACTGCATAGGGGGTGGGGGGATGGAATGGCAGAAGGAATTCAGGCAGTTCTCTGTCAAATAGGGGCTGATAAAATGCATGAGAGGTGCCAAAATCCTAGCAGGGTGCACCATCAGCCATGCACAGAGCAGTTTTGCCCTGGATGAGGAGCCAGGGTTGTTCCTGCTTCACTTAATGAGGAACCAGAACACCAAGAGCAAAAAGTGAAGCTACCTGCCCAAGTTACCCATGCTTTTGGTCATGGTCAGAGCCTGACTCCTACCCTTCACCTTAGGCCACATGCCACACCAAGGGAAGTAACAGGAAGCCACTGCAGTGCAAGGAGCACTTATTTGGGATTCAGAAAACCCAAATGCTTATGCCAGTTCCTCCAGTGAGCACCTGTGTAATATCAAGCCAATCAATTAACCTCTCTGGGCCTCAAGTTCTTCCTCTGCAGATATGATGGAATTAGCTATTAACCATGGCTTTCAAGGTGTCTTTGTTAGTACCAAAGTGGAACCAAAGGGTTCCACTTCTAATGAAACAAACCAAATCTGGCCTGCCCCGGTTGAGGGGGGAGAAGAACCCAAGAGTGAAGACTAATGAACCCTTCTCAACCCCCAACCCCTACCTAATGTGCCCTGAAGGCACCACTGAAGAATCATTCAACATCTGAAGATGGAATTAAAATCATGGGTCTAGAACAATGTTATTGTCCTTTTCAGAGCCAAAATTCCATGGTTCTGTAGAGAGGAGAGAGTAGGGTGGGATCAGATGTTTCAGACTTGAATTTGACTTCTCAAAATTTGAGGAATATTCTCAGCCTCCTTTGCCAAAAGCAAGTCATTTGGTGGGAAGGATGGATGACAACAAATTTGAGGCCCGGACAGATCCTACCTCATGAGGCTGTTTTGAGAATAGCATACAATAATGTATATACAAGCATTTGAAAAGCAGCAGCATCATGGAAATGTCAAACCTTGTTAATATTGTCATTAATAGCTTCCTCACTCCAGTCAGTGGAAGCTCTTTAGTTCTCACCTACAGATCCAGCCATATTCTTGACTCTGAAGTAAGATGGTTAGGAAATGGCTAGCCACGTCTGCACAGCTACCAAGGAGGCCTTACTCCTCACCACTCACTTCAGATGAGTTCAGGGAAGGTAATGAGCAGGAGATCCTCTCAGAGCACAGAGCCAGGGTCTTGGGCAACAATGAACAAATAAGTTTCTCCTGGAGAGCAGAATCATGTCCAGATCAATGATTTGAGGCAGGGAGCTTCAGACCTGAGTGACTACAGGTATACCTTGTTTTATTGAGGTTCACAGATGCTATGTGTTTTACAAAACGAAGGCAAGATCCTCCACCAGCAAAAATATTATGACTCACTTTATTGCAATATTCACTTTATTGCAGTGTTCTGGAATTGAACCTGCAATGTATCTAAGGTATGTCTGTAAAAGGATTTCAGAAAATTGCTGTGAGGCAGAGACCATGTGTCTCTCATTTCGCCTCTGACAGAGAAAACTCTGCATCGCCAAGAAAATCCAGGATTCTTAGCTTAATGGAGAGACTAGATTGGACTTTGGGTAGCTCCCTTGGGACGTGCATATGTATGTTGTAAGGGGAAAAGGAGCAAAAAGATATTTGGGGACAGCAGGAAAACTTGTGACAGCTACTGGAATTGCTCACCAATATCCATGTTCTCCTCTTCTTCCTTGGCACATTTCCAGTGCCCTTACCTCTAAGTGGACCTTGGGACTAGTTCTCAGCAACGGAATTTGAGTGAAAGTCGATAGTGGTTAGGAGCACATGTGCCTTCGCCACCCTTCCTCCCCTTCTACCTGGATGCAACAAATCTAGTGGAGAACTCAAGCCCTGGGAGAACACTGTGAATGGAGCCTGGGCCCTTGAATGACATGAGGCACCACTGTTCTCTCCCATCTACCCACTGACCCACAGAGAGCTGCAATGAGTGAGAAATAAACCCACTGAGATGTTGGGGTAGTTTATTACAGATAAATTATTTATAGATAAATTTTAATAACAATTTAATAAAGTATAAAATAAATATAATACTAATATAGTACATTTATAACATTATTTATTACTATTTGTTATAAACAGACAATGGTACAAAAAAACAGATTCCCTTATTACAGACTCCCTCAGAGACTGATATGCTGATATGCATTGAGACTCTCCCATGGGGGGCATATAGTATATAGTACTTTCCTAATTTAACGATAAAATTCTTTTTTTCCTGCTGTCCCAATGGCTGTCAGCTAACAGTATGGGAAACATGACTGTAAACAGCATGCATTAAAACCCCCTACGTCCCCCCTCATAGAGCTCCTGATGCAGCCTGGAGTCTATAGAAGAGAAAAAAATGTACTCTCATCCTCAGGACAACCCAGTCTTTCTCTAATCATTCTCTGCCATCCTGAATTGGAAAGGCAGAAATTTGGTGGCATTATTACAGACAGAGCAACATTTATAAAAATGTTTCCTCCTGGACATTTCCCCCCAATTACAATTAGGAGTTGTGACCCAAATCCTTACCATTTCAGGAGCAAATGAGTTTCATTTCCAAATCATCAGCTCATGGTATAGACATCTTGTGTTTGTATTTTAGAAGTTTAAAAAATCTGAAAGCCATTCCTGAAGATGTGAAGCCTGCATCCCTTAGCATATCATGTGAAAATTCCTAGATCTGAGGAATGTTAGTTGTTAGTTAACAACTGTTGGGGAAATACTAGTTGATTTCACAGGTAAGCTTCCAAATTATTTGAGCTAAATACAGTAAGTGTGTATTTCTTGTTTACTGGAAGTCTAAGTGGATATTCCCAATTGCAGGTGGCCTTGCATGTGGTTATCCAGGGAGTCTATCTTGAGGTTTCACCTTCCTCGCCGGGCTGTCCAACCCGTGGCCCATGGGCTGCATGCAGCTCAGGATAACTATGAATGTGGCCCAACACAAAATTGTAAATTGACTTAACACACTATGAGATTTTTTTTTCTGAGTATGTATTGCAATGTGTTTAATGTGTAGCCCAAGACAACTCTTCTTCTTCCAGTGTGGCTCAGAGATGCCAGAAGGTTGGACAGCCCTGTGAGCCTTAGAACCCTTGGCATTCATTGGGTATTTAGAGAAGGCACAGGGAAGGTTTTTACGGGCCAGGTCTAGGACTACTCTTCTTTACTTCCACCCACATTCCATTGGTTAGAACTCATTTAAATGGCCATACATACTGCAAAGGGCTGGTAAATAAAGTCTGGTTTTGTTCCCAGGAAGGAAAAAAACAACAGGTATAATGCACAATTGTCTAGTCTCTGCCACATCATGAGATTAGAAATCTGAATCTTGTTTCAGACTGCATTTTACATGTATCTGCAACACCATCAGCGGGCACACTTAAGTTCAGCTGAACATTCAGACACATAAGATTATCCCAGTCAACTTTTGGCACTGGTCTGCTCAGAGAGCTAGCCAGCAGGGCATTGCTCTTCTGCAGCAGTCTTGCAACCACCCACAGTGTCCAGGAGCTATTCTATCTGTCCCCTAGACAACAGCCTAAGAACGATGAAAATACATTAGGCAAGAAAAGAGCAAAGTCTTAAAAGCATTGTTCTGCACAGGAGCCAATATCTTGTAACAATTTCATAGGCTTAACTTCCCGATACTTTAACTTCCTGCAAAAGATATGTCCAGTTATAACAGTCACTGCACTCAGAGAAGCCCCAAATTATGGCTTCCTCTTAAGATTTATAGTCATCTCAATCC